TTCTGGATCTTAAAAGATCCACAAAAAATCACGTCGGTGATATAATACTCATAAAAAAAATGTTGTAATAACTGGGCAAAGGCCATATAAACAAAAAAAACATCTTACAAATTATGTCACACTTGTCTAGTCTAGTTCTAGTCCCACATTTGTTTCACACTAGTCTAACATGCTTAGTTTTAATCTCAAAAAATGCGCGTATAACTGAGTTGTTGATTTATGAAGTTATGAAACAATCCAGTAAAGCCTAAGAATACAAAAAGCACTTCTCACTTGTTACCGAGTATTCGATTTGGCCCACTCTAATGTAAAATACTTAATTCTGGATCTTAGCACGCACATTGTTACCGAATGTTTTCAAGTAGTAGTTTTGTTGAGGTTAATAGCTTCTAAGAATGTCGGGACTTATCCTTTTTAAAATAGTTTTTCGGGCATTAGCTTCGTGATTGGCAATTATGATTCAGTTTTATTATGACTTATCTCAGAGTCTTCACACTTGCTCATGCCATCAGGTGCTTTCAATTGCAAGTTGCGTTACTCCTCGAAATCTTCATTGACAGTCGGTTCTTCCCCTGAACCGATCTCATCATAACTCAACTCAACGTCTCCACACTTGTTCAGGCCGTCGGGTGGCTTGAGCTGCTCCTCTAAAGCCTCATTGACAATAAGTGCCATTCCCTCAAGTTGGTGCAATTCTTTGTGACAGTGAAGAAACCACTGGCCTGGATTATCAGAAAGAAAATTGATGACAACGTAGCCGCCAGCAGGGACCATTACTGTGTCCTTTCTTATCGTGCGCCTATTGATGGTAAAATTCATTGGCTCTGTCTTCCAGCTTGGTCTGGTACAACTTTTGTTGTTACACCCTTCTTTAGTGCAGTTAACATCAGCGCAGGATATATCACTGTTGGGGTTTTTAACATAACCAGTAGTATTGTCATACTCTGGATATCCAACGGCAACTACATGAAACGTATGGCCATGGAGATGAATTGGATGAGCACTAGGAGAAGCACCAATTGATGAAAACACCATTTGAACAGTTTCGTTGAATGGAATGTCTATCACATGCACACATGAGCACTCGAGTGTCGATGGATTGCAGTCAGCCGTTAGGTTACAGATCGTGTCTTTTTCTCGAAAATCGTTATACTGGGTTTGGGGTGGAAAGGAAGGAAGTATAAAATTGCGCCCGTTCACTGAACTAGTTTGAGATTCACCTTCAAAATTAAAATTGATGAAATGCGTGCAATTTCGGCATTGGCTGTTAGGGTTTGCATTTGGAAGTTCCCCGGGTGGAGTTGGCTCAAGTAAACGCAGCTCGTCTACATTAGTACAGGTAATGTTGTATGAAGAATGAAAGTTTTTAAATGGGCAGTTCACTGCTTTGCATGGATTCTCCTGGGTGCACACTCTGAGAGGAGAATTGTTTTTGATTTCTTCATATCTATGCGACGGCACATTGACATCTGGATCATACGAATCTTCACGCCGTTTGTAGTGCAAAATAGCTTCTGCCACATGTCCTAGTGACTTGTAAGGCGGCCCTTGGCCACTTTGATCAATCTCCATAGTCTCAGCACGAATCCAGTAGTCTTTTATTCCCTCTTTTGCATCGAGTAGAAAGTCGTATCTCTCTCCGGGATGGATCATGATGAAATCAACCTCTTTTTCGGGTTCAATCCAATAGCCGTCAGTGCCGACCACAGTCAGTTTATGGCCATCAATGGAAAAGGTGTAGGAATAAAGCGCTTGGGCTCCTACAAGCCGAAAGCGATATAACTCTCCGCACTTAACAGTGAATATACTCAGTCTGGTTTTGTTGTATGGAATATCGTCATGTCTGCCTTTGCCATTTATGATTCCAGAGAAGTACGGGATAGGTCCAGCCCCGCCATTGTCAAAACTACGAGTAGCACTATACTGTTGATCAGATGGAGTTGGTACTTCGCCATGCGGCTTGCCTGGATAAAAGCCCAAGCCTGCTTGGTTCTGAGTGAACAGGTCTAAAGATGCCTCCACTTGCCAGTCTAGAAGCGTTAAGGTGTGTTGATCTGGATGATCTTGAAATTCAGCGTTCAGTTCTGTTCTTATATCGTTCAACCTTGATTTGTTTTCTTTGACTACAAGTGCACCATAGAAGCCATCTGTTCTCTGTGCACCACTGTGGGAGTGGTACCAAAACGTTCCAGAAGGACTAGCAGTGTACTCGTATGAAAAGCTTGATGATGGTCCTATCGGACATTGAGTGACTTGGCCAACACCATCCATCCAAGGTGTTCCTCTCTGATGCATTCCATGCCAGTGAATTGAAATACCTTCAGTGGTGAGATTGTTGTGAACATGAATAATAACCTTTTGCCCTTCATAAACTATTAAGGTAGGTGCAGGAACTTGTCCATTGACCGCTATTACCATACGGTACGATTTACCATCTACATACTGGGGATAAGTACATTCGTCTGGGTCAAATGTTGAACATGTTCTATTAAACTGCAGTGGCAAAGGTATTCCGTTTTCATCGAAATAATAGCTCACTCCCTCGGTTCCGCGCACAGCTAATCCTGTAGGTTCATCCTCTGATAACTTTTGATAGCTGGTGAAGGTTTGAATTTCGTCAATTTCAAGATTAAATTCACAAATTTCTGCGTGTTCCATGCATTCGCACGTTGGGTTTCCGTATTCACAGGTAAGGGTCTCTAGATGTATCCATTTTAGTTTGATTTCTTTCGACTCGTTCTCTCTAAACCACTTGTTAAGGTGTGGATCACTTGTCAAATCCATGTACTGCTCCTCACCAGTCTTAGCAGAAGTTTGAATGGATGATATGTACCAATTTTCATTTCCTTGATGATGAGTTTGTAGGCGTACTTCCTTAATTTCGGATATCGGAACGCACCTTTTGGTTTGAAATCGGCTAACGAAGTTCAGCTCTAGCACAGAGGATTGGCTTCGTAACTCATATCCTACAAGTTCTGCCCGAAGATTTTGGTCCTGCGTTAGAACAAGGATAATGAAGTAGCTCTTTCTATCCATTTTTGAGGAACCATCTCCTTTCATGCCTTCCTTCGTCCTTGCCTCAACGCGTACGTACGTGATACAGGATCCTGCGACAGCATAGGTGAGGAGGTGCTCTTTCGCTTGGTATGGGTAATGATGTTCTTCATTGCCGTCCACCCACATACTGAAGCCTGGATCATTGGTCAGCTTAGTGAAGGTTCTATGCGATCCCGCGGTGTAGGTATCGATCGAAGCAACGTACCATCTATTATTTCCTTGAGCCGTGAGATGAACTTTTCTTATTTCTTCACGAGTGCAGATGAGTGGCGGCTTAAAATCACTTTCGGTGTTTAAGTCTTCTTCGTGTTGGTGACCTTGGTATTTACTTCCATTCAGCTCCGCTTGATGTACTTTGCCATTACTCAGAACGATCTTTAGTAGTAGATTCCCTTTAGGAAATAGACCTTCCGAGTCATAGAGCGGTTGGTTACCCATCAATGCCACGACCTTTACAAAAGTGATGTATCCTATGAAAAATAAATTTTGTTGCGATGTCAAACGAGCAATCACTTAGATGTTTGGTTTCAAACTACTCGCCAAAAAACGATATTCGCAAGAAATTTTTAAAGGCCTAAATTTTGGAAACTGATTGGGCTTTTTGCTCGATGTTTGCTTAAGCGAGTCTCTTAAGTAGAAACATATTTTTCAAATCATCAAATTGCATGTTCATTGTTACGCGTGCATCTAAACTGCAAGCGTTGGCGTTTTACGCCGGGCCTCTGTGTTTCCATCCTCGAAAGTTTCCAACAAGGAATGAAACTGCAGCCTCTCGGTCATGGCTTACATCCTGTCTTTCAGGGCTATCAGAGTGCCGAAAGTCATGCTACTTTCACACTCCAGATTTGGAGAATATAAAGCGCTCTTCTTTCAAATCTACACATGCGATGTCAAAAGTTGGGGATAGGGAACAGGAAATGTGTGAGGAAGGTAAAAATGTCACTTTACCTGGCTCAAGAGGAATGAAATGGTCCTCGTGAGGATTCCCTGGCTTGCTTCGTAACTCGTTCAGCCCGTCTAAATAGGAAGAATAAATTGAAAAAATAAAGTTGACTTTGAAGTATCGAAGTGGTGGCAGAAAGCTATAACTGTTAGCTGTACCTCAATGAATACTCGGTAAGTAATAGGGATATATTGAGTCATACCTCCCATCTATTTTTGGACAGATGAGGAGTGCGAGTAAGTGGAAAAAGAGGAAGTTCAAACATTTGGAAGCTAAGGGGACCTATGACTTTGTGTCAGTTTAAAGTCGCAACCAACTGGCATCATGCAATTTCACTTAGTTTGGCTGGTTGGTTCTTCTTGGCGTGCTACTTGGCACAAACTATTTTCGAGTGACTTGTTTGATGAGCCATGTCAAGCAGCTTATAACCTGGCTTAAAACGCTGCAACTATTTCAGCCAGAACGGTTTGAGTGGTGCTGAATTGGGCAAACTCAACCCACTAACTCATGTCCAAATTGTTCTAATCTTTCGTCACGAAGAGTCCTTTGCGAAACTTTTGAGTGTGGGAAAAAAGGCAGCGTTCGTGACTTCTGTTTCACACAACCGTGTCTATTTAGGAGTCATCTTTCATTTCGTACGTATTCTATTATCCCTGAGACAGTTAAGGTCAGTGGTTAGTCACTGACAAGTAGATTTTCTGCTAAGGAATCTACTCACTTTCTTTAGGAGTCTGAGAATCCAAATCGGGAAATACTCTTGAGTTCTCGAAAGCTTCTTTGGTTTCGTCTGAGGAGAGAGTTAATTATGTGTGAGGATCTTCAATAAAGAAGATGGAATTCATAGACAGTCAAGTATGAGAAAAGATAAAAATAAAAAAGACTTCGAACTAGATGATGATGGGGCAATTTACCCGCTAGATTCGCATTGAAAAATCCAATACCTACAACAAGTCGCAAAAATAGTTGGCACGCTTTCCCTTACTAAAGTGGTCGACAACCCTCCACTCAATATGATAAAAAGAAATCGTATGGTTCATCTCCAATACGTTACTTAAAAATCCTATTTTGTAACCTCAGGCAAAAGTGAAATGGGGGAAGAGAGAGAGATACATATATGGATAAAAAAATTCGACAAAAAGTCGAGTGTGCTAAGACTTTTGCCTCTCGTTTTAGTAGAAGTAGTCATTCTTCTTAACCTAAATCACTCCTGAACGAGTTTAAATGGAGCTAATGTGATACTTTTCTTAGTGTTACTCGGTCCTTAGGCCACAAAACCAAATTACAGGAGCATCCGAGCACTGATAGGGGTGACTTGGGTATTTCGTATCAACAGTTGATGCTTTGGGCCATGATTTTCTTCGACTTGAAAAGAAAAAAACGTGATGCCCAAATATCGAAAGTTTAAAAAAGGAAAACAAACGCTCAGGCGTAATGGTAAACAAAATGCGTATTCTCCATTTTGTGTTATTTCCCTACTCAGCAACTTGCGTACAGGATGCCTGAAACAAGGATTATTTTATTGAAAAAATTGTGCGAGAGCTCTTGCCCGAAAAAGAGCGTTTTAAGGGAAAATGTTTGCATGTACCAATCTTATGATAGCATAAAGGAAGAGAACTCCTGACATTACCTAAATTCCTGGACTCGTGCGCTGACGTCAATTATCTCACAGAGCATCTTTTGTTGTCAATATTTTCTAACTTCAATTCGTGAGAGGCGATTTTCGCGCCCGCTTCAGGATCTTTGATATTTTTTGTGTACGAAATGTCTGGCTTGATAATCAACTTACCTTTGTCGGAAATTTGGAAATTATGCTTGGGAGATTCCCTTGAATTTTCGAAATCTTCTAAGGGTATGTCTGAGGAGAAAAAGAAAATTCAAATGTATCTGACCAAAAGATCCAGTAGAATGACATAAATGATAACAAACAGCCGGACCACCACAAGCAACGAAAGCAATGCTAAATTACTTCCTTCCAAAGTATAGAAAAGTAAAGGCAAAAGAAATTTAGGAGTAAGCAACTGTATCCTGTGATCTATGTAGTCCTAGATGCTTGCAAAACACAACTAATTCACCACTTAAGGAAAGAGATACAACCTGAATCTAGAGTGGCGCGTGCGCATTTATGCCACCCTAGGCGACCTTCTGATTTATAGCTCCGCATTCATGATTATCCCATAAGCCTATGCGCGCCCGCTATCGCCCCAAGCTTTCTCTCTGTGGAAGTAGACTTACCAAATGGTTCCTCGATGTCTTTCACTACTCCATACTCTTCATCCTCGTAGTCATCTTTCCCAGGCTCACGCGCGAAATCTGCACGGAAAAAATAAAGGCCTATGAGTTTCTTCCAAAACTTCCCTACAAGTTTCTTAGGAGATCAAGTTGCCACTAAATTGTTATATTTTTTTCTAAAATCTACAGATATTCTCAACAAAGAAGCATTTGGCCATACCATGTTTTTGACAATATTTCCACATGCACTATGGCCTTGTTAGGGTCAAGCTTAAGTCATCCTTCATTCTTGTTGTATATTTGTGTATCTTGGTTGAGATTGTAGCCATTCCAGTTAAAAATAGAGATTCAATGATGAGCCTCAGAGAAGAGATAATCTAAAACGAGTTTTTTCGAATATCGATAAATAATTTACTGTGTATGGTCCTATCAAGAAATTGCAAACAATTTGTGATCTCTTGGTCTTACATGATCACCAAGGAGATTAAGTGATTTGAGTGAACCTACTTTCATCTCTATAGTGAGATGTCAGAAGTGATAGACAGGTTCGCGAAAACTTAATGAAAAAAAAAACCAAAAAAAACTGGTCGGTAATAATATTTATCTTGAGCAAATTATCTTCCCTCTCCTCCCCCCTTAAAAAAATGCATGGCTAGAGAATGTTCAAGAGAGATACGTTTTGCCTTAGCTTGCAAGTGAAACTCAGGTCTCAGATCCTTTTTATTAACCTGACGATGGGAGAAATTCAATGAAGACAATGAAGGTTGGGAGTCGAGAGGCGGGACAACGTTGTACCGAAGGAGGGAGGCTGTGACCTTCCCGTCCCCCCTCCCCCATGTTATCACCAATGAGATCAAGTTAACTTACCCTTATGTTCTTTGATGTAGTCCTCCTCTCTTGGGTCTGCGCCAACTAAAAACGAAGAAAAATAACTTTTAATCAACTTGTAGACAGAATTACAAGCAATGTTTTGCAATAGGAAGACCGAGGAATTCTCAACAAAAGAAAAACGAAATATTTCTTTTTATCGACACGAGGCAGGAGATTGTTACCAATGGAACAATTTAAATATTTTATGCGTATTATGCCTCATAGCCTTTTGTTAAGCGAGTGAAATAAATATTAGAAAATAAACCTTAACAGGCGAGTAAACGGCTAAAAGAATTTACCGTAACCTTTATATCTTTTTAAAGGATAGTATATGTGCTCAACAAGAACAAAAATATTGAAATCATCTTTCCCATGTTTAGCCAGCTGAAGAGAGAATATATCCTTTCAATAATTTCAGCTCTACACTAATCAGGGACTTGAAACAAAATTGCAAACTGCGCTTTATTCAAGTTTGTGTTTCAGAACAATTATAATTTCAATCTACAAGCATTCATTTCGAAACTTTGTGGGAAATTACTGTAAGAGGCTTCAATTGCATTAATTTTTGTTTTTTTTTATCTAGGAGGCGAGATATTATTCATATTAAGGGAGTGTGAATTTCGAGTGTCATAGCAAGAGCTTTTCAAACCTAGCAATCTGATCTTTGTCACGCCAGATAATCTGCAATGAATTCCAGTGGCAACCTTTGGGCTTAAACGAGGAACATGAAAACGAACACGAGTGAAAAAAATTTTAAAATATAACTTACGTATAAATCGTCTGTTGTGGTCAGCATCTCTTGGATCTATCTTAGGCTTGAAGTGTGCGGCTGGAAACAATGTAAGAACGAAATAAATAAGATGAACCCCGTCATGAGCTAAAACATTTGGATAAGATTTATTGATAAAAACTAGACCCCAAACCAAGCTCTAACTCCTGTAAAGAATTCATTCTTTTAGGAACAAGTCATTATTTATCGCCTGGGGAGAGGGGGTGGGGGAAGCAGGGAGGGGGATTTAGTTTGCGTCGTTGCGCTCATTTTGGTTGAGTTCTGAGGTGAGTTTCTCGAGGGCTTGTGACTGTCGGAAAGTCTAACAAGTTTAGGAAACTTTTTCGAACAATAGCTCTGAGCATTTTCCGAAGATTTTTCAACCCTAGAGTCACACACAGTTTGTTCCAGACCTCATGCGAAAACAAAAAGACCAGTAACGTTCACTCTTAATTCAAATAAAAGCAGTTAATAGATGTTATTGAGCTCCCTTCGTCCCCTTTCAAACCAAGATAACCAGACCGTTTGAAAATACGCTTATGAATAAATTGAACAAATAGATTCCTGGCTGCCATAGGTTTGTTTAATTGTCGACCGCAGATGTCGTCAAATGGGGTAAGAACAAAA